GGGGGGCAGTGGCAGAGGCCCGGATGTGGAGGCCCGGATGTGGAGGCCCGGATGTGGAGGCCCGTGCCTCAGTTTCCCCAACCTGTCCCCGTGACCCCTGACCCCTCCCCCCAGTGAACAAAAGGAGTCGAGGCGCAGGTCAGAGGTCAAAGCTAAAGTGATATTGTTTATATAAAAAGGCGGGAGCTGGAGGCTGAGGGGGGAGGCCTGAGGGTGGAGGCTGAGGCCTAGGGTGGAGGCTGAAGCCTGAGGCCCAGGGTGGAGGCCGAAGCCTGAGGCCTAAAGTGGAGGCTGAGGCCTGAGGCCTGGGATTGGAGGCTGAAGCCTGAGGCCTGGGATTGGAGGCCGAGGCCTAGAGTGGAGGCCAAAGCCTAAGGCCTAGAGTGGAGGCTGAAGCCTGAGGCCTGGGAGTGGAGGCTGAGGCCTAGGGTGGAGGCCGAAGCCTGAGGCCTAGAGTGGAGGCCGAAGCCTGAGGCCTAGAGTGGAGGCCGAAGCCTGAAGCCTAGAGTGGAGGCCAAAGCCTGGGGCCTAGAGTGGAGGCTGAGGCCTAGAGTGGAGGCTGAAGCCTGAGGCCTGGGATTGGAGGCCGAGGCCTAGAGTGGAGGCCAAAGCCTGGGGCCTAGAGTGGAGGCTGAGGCCTAGAGTGGAGGCCGAAGCCTGAGGCCTGGGATTGGAGGCTGAGGCCTAGAGTGGAGGCTGAGGCCTGGGATTGGAGGCCGAGGCCTAGAGTGGAGGCCGAAGCCTGAGGCCTAGAGTGGAGGCCGAAGCCTGAGGCCTAGAGTGGAGGCTGAGGCCTAGAGCGGAGGCCAAAGCCTGAGGCCTAGAGTGGAGGCCGAAGCCTGAGGCCTGGAATTGGAGGCCGAGGCCTAGAGTGGAGGCCGAAGCCTGAGGCCTAGAGCGGAGGCCAAAGCCTGAGGCCTGGGATTGGAGGCCGAGGCCCAGGTGGAGGCCGAGACGTCGGAGGCCCAGGATTCGAGGCCCAGGCGTTGGGATGAAACCTCAGCCAGGTGGTGGAGTTGGGGGGGGTCAGGCCAGGGGTCGCAGGTCGGGTGGGGTCAGAGGTCACCGGCGGAGGCCGTGACCCTCAGACCTGGGCGGATGCATCTAGAAAAAAGGGAGGAAGGGGGGGGGGGAGAAGGAGGAGGGAGGTCAGGACGGACGGACGGACAGACCTGGAGCCAAGCGGGCGTTAGCGGAGGCCGAGGCGCGTTAGTGCGGGCGCGGGGCATCGTGGCAGCGGCCGCAGGGGCTGGCGCCAGCGGGAGGCCGGGGCGCGGAGGCCTGGGGAGGGAGGCCGGGCGGGTGAGGCCGTGTCAAGGCCCCCCGCCACCCCGCAAGGG